GTTCCGAACACTTAGCCGGCATCACAGGAATAGAAAATACTTTCACTGAATCCACTGCATGTTCCTTTAGAAGGTTTCCGTCATTTTTCATGTTTTCCATGTCACAGCAATTAGCAGGAGCCTGGATTGAGCTCAGTTCCTGCTTATTGGCTCCTCGTAAGCATCTGATTAGCCACTGTGAGAACAGATGAGGACGAGATGGGCCACTGGTCTAACCCAAGAGGGCTCTTATGATTCACACGTCTGAATGAGGCGAGTTATATATCCAGCATGATGTGGAGCTGATTCAGATTTCATTATTCTCCATGTTATTTTGCTACCTAGAAGTAGAACGTTTATTAGAGATCTCTTTTCAGAGGGCCTTTTGACCTTAAGATCCCAAGCAACGCCAGCATGATTTCTCAGATTCCAATAGAAGAATGATTACTCATTTGTGACCCACAAACTTTTGAAGACTTACATTATTATGCAATACATGTTGTCCCACTTACATGGAACTAAAAAGTAAATTCATAGCAGCATAAAACCATGCTAAAAGGCAAATATAAATAAGCAGGCTAACATATAAACTTCCCTATATAAACTAGGGAAATATGTCATACAAAAGATTTCTATATTTGTGGTGGCTGCACAGAAGCTAAGGAGGAATGGTGCTGGAGCAGAGGTTGCTACTTGTGCCGATTTCTTTATGTCTGAAGTTTTGCTGAAAGAGCTTTCATAATATCTTTCTGTTTGTTTCTTGTTATATTTAATACAATGTATATGTTATGGTATTGTTCTGATTATGATTTTGCATTGATGTGACATTCTTTCAATATTTTGACTTTGGCATTCCACAACAACCACCACCCCATCCTGTCTACCCTAGAACTTTCGTGCTGAGGAGACTTGAATTTTTAGATGGTTATTCTCCAATTTATTTTCTGCTATTCTGTGGTAGATCAGAATATTTTAAGCCCATGTTGCAGTGAAATTGGAGCATAGGGACAGGTATGACATAATATTCAGCCTTATTTAACCAAACAATGAAGGAATGACTAATGGGAACACCAAATGTGAATTTTCCATTTTCAGTTATCATATGTGCATCTGAACCATGGTGAAGACACCGAGAACTGTAATCAACAGGAGTGTCCTATTCCCCCAAAGATGTTGTCAAACTAATTTATTTAAATTAATACATCTGTTGTTGAATAAATGTAATCCATGTGCTGGTAACCTCCAAGCTGTACTACTGCAATGTACTCTGTGTGGGGCTGCCCTTGTGGCTTAACTGTTCCCTGGGGCAGGATATTATTGCCACACCGTTGAAAGAATTGCACTGTCTGCCAATTCACTGCTGGAGTCCAAGGTGCCGATTTTAGTATATAAAGCCATACACAGCTTGGCACGAGGATATCTGAAATAGTGTCTCACCCCTTATAAACCCAACCGACCACTGCACTGTGCAGGTGAAAGGCTCCTGTAGGTACCATCTTATCAGGAAATCAATTCTGCCCAGTGTTGGAATCGGGCCTTTAGGGTTTCAACACCTCTCCTTGAAGATTAGACAAGGGCCTTCTCTTGCCTTTTAAGCTGAAATCTTTCCAGTCTGCATCTGTACTGGAACCAGTTTTTAGATGTTTTTATCACTTTTTGTTGGTTGCACTGGGCTCCTTTGGAAGGAAGGGTTATACATATACATGTAATAAATAAAACAATAAATTCTGATCTGGTCATAAAGTTCTTGTGGAAGACTGTAACATAAAACAATGCCTACAGAAAAATTTCTGTCAGACAAGAAAGGAAAACATGGGAAACCCCCAAATCCCACTTCATTGAAGGAATTTTTGAAGTTCATTCAGTCAAATAAGAAAATTAATGGCTGGCTCACCATTATTTGATTACCAATCTGTCCATTATTTGAGAACCAACATTTGTTGACTGTCAGCTAGAAGTGTGAACAGTCTCCAGGGAAAAGCATTGCATGTGAATGTTCTGCTGCAATGATCAATCTGCGATGCCTCCAGCACAAACGCTAAGTCAGCACTTGATGCTATAGGCAGCAAATGATGAGCATATACGTTTTTGAACTGAAAGGAGATAAAAGAAGAAAGTAATCTTTTGGAAATTTACTACAGAAATTGCTGGTAGCTAAAATGGTGACATGAGTGAATCTATAAACATTTAGCAGTACCCAAGATCTGGGAGGAAGCAAAGTGTGGTGTGAGTTTATGATGCAAGCAGCAGCCCAGTGTGAACCAGTAAGAGGAGGGAGGAAGGGATTTCCCCCACTGTAGCGAGTGGCAGCTGGGCAGTCATGGGGCAAGACTAAGGAGGTCACAGGGGCATGGCCAGTTGCTCTCGTTTTTCTCCCCAGCCTCCTCTTTTCCAAAGATACTGTGGACATTTAAACACTGCAGTTGCAAAAATATTTAGTGTGCAACCTAACTGAAAAGGGTCTTACTTTGGTTCAGAGGGCAGTCCCTGCTGTCACAGTTGCTTCTCTGCAGGCAGAAATGATCTGTGGCCTCACTGGTTCTGATTCTCTCCCTATTGGTCTCCTTTACAAAATAGGTTACCAGACGTCCCCGTTTCTAGGGGACAGTCCCCAGATTTACAAATCGGTCCCCTGACAAAATCCATCTATTTAGTAGGAAGTTGAAAAGTGTCCCCCGATTCACTGGAAAAAAATCTGGTAACCTTATTGGTCTCCTTTACAAAGAAGAAGAAGAAGAAGAAGAAGAAGAAGAAGAAGAAGAAGAAGAAGAAGAGGAGGAGGAAGGGCAGCAGCAACAACAGACACTTGAACATTATACAACTGCAAATGCTTAACACCTAACTGTCTTACCTTGGTTCAGATCTGCTCTCACAATATCTAGTGTGGGTTCATGTCAAAGAAACCAAAAGTAACCTCCACTGAATTCCATGGGGATTGCTCCCTGGGAAGAATGTACAGAAGTATAGCCTAAATTGGCTGGTTCTAAATGTACCACACAGGACTGTGAACATGGGAACCCGTAAGTTTCCAGACCAATGGGAAAAGATTATTCCCCTCCAGCTTATTCGCTTCTACATCTTCTTTCCAGAACATGATATAAGGTGGAGGGATATTAACTGGGCTGGAACCTGGGAGATCAGAGTTCAAATCACAACTCAGTCATTAAGTTCCTTGTGTGGCCTTGCACCAGTTGCTTTCCCTCAGTATAATCTATCTCACGGTGAGGGGTTTTAAGGTTTTAAGGATAACATACGGAAAGGGAGACCCATGAATACTACCGCCAGGGAGATCCCTAGAGGAGAATTAAAATGGATATAAATTACATACTCATAAAGAATGAGGAGGAGGAGAAGAAGAAGAAGAAGAAGAAGAAGAAGTCTATCTCTAGCCTGCCTTCCCCCTGTTTTTGATTCAGGGAAAGTGTGTGTAGGTTTGAAATAATGGGGAGAACCTAAAAATCAAAGGAAAAAATTGATATTGGACACAATCAAGATATTCAGGCCTACAAATATTGGACTTTACATGTAGGTCTTTGCAAATTAAAAGAAACATAGGTGGGACCTCTACAACACAGGAATTGTTGGGGATTGGCTAAGGGCAGTGGGGCAGACAGCTGACTGGCCAGAAAACAGGAGAATTCCTCCAGAACCCTCTAACTTCAAATGGAAGTATAAAATGGATGTAGGGCAGAAAAGAGTGGAGGGTAGGGGGTGCTAAAAAAATGGCTTTAGATGCTATTGGGCAGGTCCGTGCCCCGGCAACAATGCCCTCACTGACCACAGTCTACATGATTCCCCAATTCTAGAAGGAGGTGGCCAGCCTTCCAAAACAACCAAAACTTAATATGGAGGATTACAGTTTTGTGACTTTAAAAAAAAAATCCACTAAAATTAGCATATCAGAAGCAGTTAAGTTACTAGAGCTCTGCTTAGTTATCAGCCTCCTCTTTCTTTTGTTTCAAGGCCCTTAACATGTAGGGATGAACCTACATGTTTTCTGTGGCAAAAGGATAACATCTTAAGGCCTGCATTCCACACCCCCCCAAAAAAACCCCTGCAGTGTGAGTGCGGGCATAGCCATATCATTGCAAATGATTTTGCATCTCTGTGTTATGGCTCTAGCTCTGTGAGACTGTACAAATCTGGTTCTCAACCCTTTAACTGGTTGCTGCAATGTTGGAACTGACATCCTCCAGCAGTTAGGCTATTCCAGGGAAGCTTTTCTTAAGTGGTGCCTAGATTTAGTTTCCAGCTCTGAATCCCCGTTATTTTTCTTTAGTGTGAAAATTGTGCATTCCTCCTGGTTGTTTTCTTTAAAAGACCAATAATGAGAGGGAAAAGCAAATGCCTGCCAAAAAAATAAGATCCGTGCCCTCTTCTTTTCTATTTTAAAATTTCTCATCACAGTGATTACTGGAGTTGAAATGCAAAGTGTAAGAGCTATTTTTTTATATTAAAAAATCCAAGCAATTGAAACCAAGAAAGGAGACACAGAAAATAATCTCAAAAAAGACTAGTTAGTGTTCTCTCCAGTCCTATACAATTCCTAACATTGTAACACTGTCAGCCTGGTCCTAAACCTGTCTTTATTAAAAAGAAAAAACAAAACTTCAGTTTAGTCAGAAATTCTTTTCTCGTAATTTGAATCCATTGGTTCAGGTTCTACCCTTTGGAGTAGCAGAAAACAAGCTTGCTCCATCTTCCATGTGCCAGCCCTTCAGATATTTGAAGATGTTTCTCATATCTCCTCTCAGTCTCTTTTCCAGGCTAAACATACCCAACTCCTTCAACCATTCCTCATAAGGCTTTCCAGACCCTTGATCATCTTGGTCGCCCTCCTCTGCACCCGTTCCAGCTTATCAACATCCTTCCTAAATTGTGGTGCCCAGAACTGGACACAGTATTCCAGGTGTGGTCTGACCAAGGCAGAATAGAGTGGGAATATTACTTATATAACTTCCCTTGATCTGGACACTAGATCTGCAGTCTAGAATGGCATTAGCTTTTTTTCTTTTTTTGTTGCTGCTGCATCACACTGTTGACTCGTGTTAAGCTTGTAGTCTACTAAGACCTATACTTTTGTTGATGCAACCTGGGGCTGCATTGTTGATGCAACACATACACCAAGGGTCACACTCCACATATAGCAGCTTCATAGGGCTGCAGCAGCTGCCCAGTCATTCCTCTATTAGGCAATTTTCTGGCAAAACTCCTTCCTTGCAACATTGGCTTTCTGTCTCCATTATGCTCTGCTTGTACATTTGTAAATAAAGCAAGCTTTTTAAATGCTCTGTGTCTCCGGTGCTTTTTCATTCAAAGAAACCCAACTCAGGACTTGCTTATGACTCCACTCTTCAGCCAAAAAGGCTCACCAAAGATCAATAACCACAAGGCAAGTGCATGCCTGCTGGCTTACAACCTAAAGCGCACGACACAAAAGGAAAAAGAGGTGAGGAGGGAAGAGCAAACTCAGGCACAAGTTCTTAAGGTTGTAAAGTTCTTGAACTTGAATGGAAAAAGCTGGGGGAGGGGGAGAGCCAAATGCAGCCGGTTTATAAGCAGAGCTGGTTCAGTGACCCTACATATGGGATCTCCTGTTAGGGAGAAAGAAACTTCAGCAGCTTTTGAGGGGCTTCCAGTGTTGGAAGGTCATGGCAGTTTGGCTGGGATAGTTTCAGACTTGAAAGGTATTGTGTTGGAGACCCTCAGTAGTAAGGGAGAGGGCAAGGAGTGATGGAGGGCAAAGGAGGAACCCCAAAATCGTGGCAGCAAGAAAAAGAGTGGAGAGGAACTCTTCCATGGTAGCTGTTCTCTTCCCCACACTCCTTCCCCAAAGACAAATGTCCAACTTTAGAAGTCTGATATTTGGGAAATTATAGGGTAGTTAACGTTAGAAAGCTGGGCGGAGGTACTTAGTTGTTTCTGGACAATTGCTATATTCAGCTCTTTCAAATATACCTCTCTTCAAAGCCTCAGGATTGTGAAGTTATCGGTTGGCGTTGGGTGGGTGGGTGGAGAATTGTAGAAGCATTTGTTTGTGGCTGCTCAGGCGCAGCATGCCTTCTTACTTTCCTACTTGGTTCCTGGTGGCTTAATAAAAAGAGTATGGCAAAGTTAAATTGCTCTGAAATATTGGGGGCAGATTTTTGTTGAGCCGTCACAGACTGGTGTATATAATGTCTGTTGTGTGTTTGCGGGAGTAGGCTGCATACCTGAGCCGCCTCCTAATTCCTGGATCCAGCATGGATCCTCAATTCCTGGAGCAGCCAGGCTAGCTTCTTGGTGATGCAATGGCCCTCTAGGTATGGGCCATGAAGGAAACAAAGGAAGTGGCTCTGTGCCAGGTAGTAGTCTAATTTGCAGGTAGTTAGAAAGGCCAGAGTTGGGAATTTGTGTGGCAAGCTGCAGGTTGAAGGCTGCGCAGCTGCGAGACTTCATGCCTAATTTCTGTTGGAATCCAAGGCTGGGGCTATGGGAGAAGCAGACGCTTTTGGGGTGTTAAATCTGGGAACCTCTCCGCCATAGGGTCAGGTTGTATATATCTGTAAAAGACACCACTGTCCCTCTTTTAGAGGGAAACACAAACCCCGCATAAGCATTGATTACCTATTTGTTTCTGGGATCAATCTAAAGTGCTGGTAAAGGTAAAGGGACCCCTGACCATTAGGTCCAGTCGTGACCGACTCTGGGGTTGTGCGCTCATCTCGCTTTATTGGTCGAGAGAGCCGGCGTACAGCTTCCGGGTCACGTGGCCAGCATGACTAAGCTGCTTCTGGCGAACCAGAGCAGCACATGGAAACGCTGTTTACCTTCCCGCCGGAGTGGTACCTATTTATCTACTTACACTTTGACATGCTTTCGAACTGCTAGGTTGGCTGGTACCAAAGCGCTGGTACTGACCTATAAAGCCCTCAAAGGCCTCTTGCTCCTATACAGAACCACCCAGCTTCAGATAGTGCCATTGCAAGGTTTCCAGTGGATAAGCACAAGGAACGGGACCTTTTCAGTGATGGCGGCCCAGCTTTGGAATACTCTTCCATCTGCATTTGGAAATTGGCTTTAGATGGCAATTTAAAATCTATTCGTTTTGTTGCTGATGGAATGGCTTTTGAAAGACGAAGAGGTTAAGTCGGTTATGATACATTGGGCCAAGGATTTTGGTTATAATATACAGTTAAAAGACTGGGAGAAATTGTGCAAAGAAGAAATAAAATTTACTGCATGCCTTGAAAGAAATATGATGAAAATGATGTACAGATGGTATATTACACCAGTGAAATTAGCTAAAATGTATAAAATAAGTAACAAATGTTGGAAATGTAAAGAAAAAGAAGGTACTTTTATCATCTGTGTTGGGAATGCAAAAAGGTGAAAGGTTTCTGGGAAATGATTTACAATGAGATGAAAAAGATGTTGAAATATACATTTATTAAAAAGCCAGAAACATTAATAGGCAAGATAAAAATCTGTTTTTATATGCGACAATGGCAGCAAGAGTTTTATTGGCACAGAAATGGAAGCATGAAGAATTGCCGACGAAAGAGGAGTGGCAGATGAAATTAATGGACTATGCATAATTGGATAAGATGACAGGAAGAATTCGAAACCAGCGGGACCGAAAATTCTTGAAGGATTGGAGTAAATTTGCGGGTTATTTGAAAAACAATTGTAATCAGCTGACTACGCTTGTAGGATTACAAGAAGTTTTGTAAGGAGAACTATATTAAATATTACAGGAAAATTTTTAGGAGAATGGATTTTAAAGTATGGATTATTAAAAGTAATAGTTAAGATAAGGAAATGCAAGACTAACAGATGAAGGCCGAAAATCACTAGACGTGGTTGATGGCTTATAGCCAAAATGTAGTATCAGATGAGAGATGCTATGTTTTATTTGGAAAATATATGTACAAGCCAATAAAAATATATTTTTTTAAAAAAATCTATTTGTTTTGGCAGGTTTTTAACAAACGATTACTTTTGCCACTGCCTCGTTTCTTTAACTGCTTGTTACACATTGTTATTTGAATGGTTTGCTTTTAATGTGATTGATTGTTTTTAATAGGAGGATTTTTGTATCCAGAATGTTTGCCATGGCTGTCTGTTAAATGGTAGTTCTAGCATGTCCATCTTTTAAAGAATGAAATTTCTGCTTAAAATGTATTGAAGTTCACTAGATGGAGCTCTAAGGTACCAGGTAAGCTTCCCCAGGGACATTTGCAGAGAGAAAGCTCAGCAAGAAACTCACAACTTCTTCATGCCTTTCTCCACAAATGTACAGGAGAGCAGAGAAAAGAAAAGCCTTAAAGAAATAACAAGATCCAGAGAGAGAGAGAGGTGCAGACATTTGAGAAGTCCTTTCCTTGTGCCTTCCTCATTTGTAAACCTGAGGGCAGCGGCTCTCTTAACACTGATTTTTATAAGCCACTCTGAGAGCCTTTGGGGCTAAAGGGGGCAGTATAAAATGGCATATGCAAACAAACAAATAAACTGAATGAACACAACAGATGAAGAATAAGAATTCAAAACTAATTCCTAATAATAATAATAAATTATATATCACAGATTGGATTTCTAGATTTTTATAATTAAGAATTAACAAGGACTTTAAAAATACCGAATCATTTCTTCTTCTTCTGATATGTCCGCATGTTGGAGCTCCTGTTGCACCATGTATAATGTGTTGGAGTGGAATTTAACTCTTTTATCTGCAATTAGTGTTTTACATGTTATAATTTATTTTGTCTCTCTTCTCACTCCTAACTGTTTCAAATGGAAATCTATTGCTGTAGGAAGTATTCTGCATAAAGGAACTAATATAAAAGCAGGTTGAGGAAACTTCTATCTACAGTTTCTTCATTCAATACTAAGCTTTTAGAAACACTGGTTATATAGTTATATGGAAGAAAGCTTGGCAGCACACGAGCTCACCTTCCTACGCTACTCATAATATCTAAGAAAAATGAACTAAAGAAAGCCATTAAGGAAGGAGCAGGATTCTTTTCGTACTGTTGGAAAATTCACACGTAGCCCACTCTGACATGATTATTATCTGCACTTAACAAGAAGCGACCCTCTGAATCCCCTCCTCTGTATTTTTTTTTATAAAAAGAGCTACATTTTATCAATAGTTCAGTAATCTAGCCAATTTGATATGTCCTTGCTAAAATGGTCATCATCATCAACAACAACATTGTCACTTGACACTGCAGGAAATTAAAATACCCAAGAAAAGGGAGGGGAGTCCTTTTAGCTCTGTTCAAACGTTATGGAAATCTAGTGGCTGGTATTAATGGTAATGACCTGAAGGGAGTGGAAAAGGCAGAACTAAGGGTTAGATGAGCCTGAAGGGAAAGGGGGAAAAAGGCACATACAAAAAGTTTTCTTTTAGTCTGTGCCCAAGAAAGGGGGGGGGGATCCCTCTTAGTGGTTGTCAAGGAGATCTGCTGTTGGGTTTGCTGGACTGTGGGCTTCAAAGATTCCTGCCTTTAGCTTGAGGGGAGCCATTTCTTTGCAAATCAGGCAGTCAAATCCTTGCAGGCTCTGAAAATGTTGGAGGCTGCAATCTGAGGCAAATTTTCTAGGAAGAGCATCCCAATGACCACAGCAAACACGCCTATAAGGCTCGTTGAAATATGTTGGTTTAGCTCCTGAGGAGGGAAGGGGGAAAGAGATGGGGGTCAAACTTTTCGCCTCAGGAAGCAAGAAAAATAAAAACAGCAGTTGCTGGAGACGGCAGTCGCTCTCTGCCAACACAAGGGACCTTTAAGGCTGTGCACCTAAGCCAGCTTCCAAGTTTGCTTAGGGTGGCACAGCCAAGTGTCCACAGCCATCCAGAGATTATGACCTTGAGTGTTTGGTAAACATTGTCACCGACACCCACCTGATTTAGAGAAGCTGTCCCAGTTTCTGATTTGATCCCGGAATGTCCTGCTTTTCCTTAGGATGTCCCTATTTTCATTAGAGAAACGTTGGAGGGTATGGAGTTATCTGACCCCCCCGAGCCGTCTGAAGGCAACCCTGTATAGGGAAGGCTTTTTAATGTTTAATGTTGTATTATGTTTTTATATATGTTGGAAGCTGCCCAGAGTGACTGGGGCAACCCAGTCAGATGTATGGGGTATAAACAGTAAAATTATCATTATGGAATGGGACGTCACTATTTTCACTGGAGAAATGTTGGAGGGTATGCATGTTTCTTTCTGCCTTTATTGGCATTTTGGTACTGCTTCCGCCACTGCTAACAATGACAACTTTATTTGTACCCTGCCCATCTGACTGGGTTGCTCCAGCCCCTCTGGGCGGCTATTATTATTTATTAAATTTGTTAGTTGATTTGTCTTGCCTGAGGCAACCCAAAGCAAGTTACAACCAACTAGGTGATCACCTCTGCACCAAAGACACTTGGCAGTTATCAGATGGCTGTGCAAAAGGCATTGGAGGGCGGTGGACAGCAAGACTAGCTGACCAGTTGGAGACCCCATTCCTGCACATTCTCTAATGCAACCTCTGCAAACAGTCGGGTAAGGCAGGCAGCCCCTCTCACCCTCTGACTGCAGGTCAAGGGGCAAAAATGAAGAGCAGGGTCTGCCAGTTAAGGGAGTTTTCTTGGGAAGGAGAGCAAGAGGGTGTTAATGGCTGACACTAATAATTGTAATTGGTGGTTTGCATTTTAGAGAGAGAGAGTGGGGTAGGGAAACTTCGTTTTCATTTCACTTCTTATTTGTATTCCGCCTTTCTGTGTCGCTCTGCACAAGGTGGTTGACAAACCGAAGCAGCAACAGAATGATCCACAAAGACGACGCACCTGATAACAGCCCGACCTAGACGAGTAAGTCACACTTCACACGAGCAACTTACATCGAACCAAGCCATATTGAACAGCCCGTGAGAATAGCACGCTGTAGAAATAACTCTCGAAACATCAGCGGATAAGGCTGAGGCAGAAATCCGCTCGCAGAAATTGCAACCCACCGTCATGCGAATATAATCCATTAAAAATAACATTGCAATACATAAAAATTCCAAAAGAGCCAACTGAGCAGCAAGGTGACAGAACTTTTCCTAATAATGTTCTCGGCAGTGGCGTAGCGTGGGTTGTCAGCACCCGGGGCAAGGCAGGTAATTTGCGCCCCCTAACCCGGGGCAAGGCAAGTAATTTGCGCCCCCTAACCCGTGGATTTGCGCCCCCTAACCCCCAGATGTTGCGCCCGGTGCGGCCGGCCCCCCCTGCACCCCCCACGCTACGCCACTGGTTCTCGGAAATCTTTTCCTCCCCGGGCTTTCGGCGGAGGTGGCGGCAGCAGCAGCAGCAGCATCGGCCCTCCGGCGCCCAGCCCGGCCTCTGGCCCCTCTGCCCTCCCCGGCGCTGCCCGGCGCTGCTCCAGATCCCCAGCCGGCGCCCCTCCCCCGGCCGGGCGATTGGCCTGGCTCCCCGCCCGTCCCGCCCCCGCGCGGCGCCCCCGCGAATCAGCAGCGGGGCGCTGTGGGCGCGCCCGTTCCTGCGGCGGCGAGTCGGCCAGCGCCGAGCGCGCCCCGGGCACAGCCGCGCACGCCCCACCTCGCGCCGGGTCGCCTCCTTGCCATGGGGACCGTGCGCCTGGCGTGGCGCTTGGGCTTGGCGCTCGCCCTCCTGCACCCGCGCAGGTTCGCCGCCGCCGCCAGCGGCGTCCCAGGTAAGGAGGAGGCGCCTTCTCGCCTCGCTCGGGGGCTCAGGTTGGCGGCGGGGAGAGAGCAGGGAGCGCGGCTTCTCCCGGGATGGAGCAGGAGCTCCGCCGCCCAAGAGGGAGAAGTCGTTGCATGGCGCGGCGAGGGTGCAGGACTTTCTTTTCCAGCTTTGTTTCGCGCCTCTCTGACTCCCGGCTCCGCTTAAAAGTTGTTTTCCCCGAAGCGGGGAGATGCAAAGCCACCAGTTCGCGGTGTCCGGGGTCAACCTGTCTAGACAGAGAAGTTGAGCCAGTTGCCGTATAGCAGCAGCGCAAAAAGGTTAATTATAGGATTTCTTAACTTCACCTTGTGTTTCCTCGCCCCTCCCAGCCAGGCTCCTGCTCCAGCCAAATTTGCACAGGATCCTTCTATTGTGCTTCGAATAGTTGCCTGACCCTTCTTTGACTTGGGTTCTTTGTATGGGGGGGGGGAGGGTTCAATATAATGTGGCAAATATCTTAAAGCCATAGGGTTTCTTCTCTGGCCCTCCATAGATTTCCAGATAGGCTGAACCTGCAGCTGTAGGTGTTAACACGCAAGAAAAATATATTCCTTCTCTTTCAGCAGAAATGTAGAGCATCTTGGTGGTTCTGTTTATGTTTTGTGAGATTTTAACTGGAGATATGCTACGTGGAGACCAGCTGTCTCTATCCCTTGCCTTACAAGTCAGTGATGCTCCTAGAACAGCAGTTTGCAAACAGTGTCCTACTACTGCGCTGTGAGAAATAACTTCATTAAATAATTAAATTCTGCTGTGAGCATCCAGGTACTCATGGAGGGTGCTGTCCACTGTGTCTCTGCGTGATTCACTGCTCTGGCCTTCCCCTTTTCAGCCAACTTCTGTGGGGGGTGGGGGGGTAGGTAGGTGATTCTGCCCCTCTGAATCGTGCATGGAGCTGCGTATTCAATCACTTCTGATCCAGAGAGATGCTCTAGAATTCCCTGACCTTGGAGGTGGCTCAGCCAGGATAGTGATACTGCGCACAAACGCACAGAACCCCTCTCACATTAAAAAAAGCAGACCTTTTTTGGGGGGGTGCACCTCCAGTTTTACTATTTTTTAAATGCTCTGCTGTCAGAAGTATCAGGAAGATTAAGACAGACCTAGGAATCTAGTTGCATTCATCTTTCCCTATAAGCCAGCATTGTCCCTAGAAATGGCGAGGGGTCAGGGATTAAAAATATAATGCCTAAGCAGCCTAGCAGGAGCCGTGCAGCAGAGGAAGTTTCGCCGTTGGATCTGCCCTTTCCATTTGACTCATTGGCATTCACACGCCTGACTCTCAGGATCCTCGGTTTGCTGTGAAATGTCCCCTTTGGGCTCAACACAGTTTGAGTTTTTTGACGGCATTAGAAAGGAGCCCAGCTGTCACTTCTGCTGAGCTTGATGAGAGAGCTGCTTGCCTCTTTTAATGAGTCAAAAGTATGAACTTAGGCACTTGAAACAAAAGCGCCACCTCCTACTTTATCCCCTGCCTGACTGAATACATAGTGGCATGTGTATGTGATCTGAACTGTGCCCTGAAAAATTTACTGAAACCTGCCCCCCAACTTTTTAAAAAATAAAAAACTCCACAGCTAGTTCTGAACTGCTTGAGCAGTTGAAATAAATCAAAAGAAAGAAACCAATTAAGCCACTATTCAGTCGTGGAGAGCAAACTTCTTTCTTTCTCCGCTTTGTTAGAAGCACACCAGCGCGGAAGGGACCTTGCCTGTCTGTGTTTTAAGAATTTTACTTCTTAGAAGGTTCGCCCGAAATAACAGTTCCTCTCTCTGCTTTTTATTCCTTCCCCTTGCAAAGTTCTCTGATGTGTGCCTGGCCACAATATCTGATTATTCCTGCTGCCCCTTAGCAGCCCCCACCTCTCCCCTCCTCTGTGACTTTGAAGAATCCTTGTTTTATCGCTGGAGATGGCTGAGTGAGCATTTCTGAAACAATTAGCGTTAGGATTTCAAGCTAACAATCAAAGTCTTTTTCACTTTGGTGCACCTTTTCTTAGGATCTGTTAATCTAATTGGCATGAAACAAACTGCACATGGATGGTAGAGGAGTCTTTTTCTGCTCTCCCCGTGCCCCCCCCCCCCATATTATAAATTTAAAACTTCACATTTATTGGCTCATGATTTTAGGCAGTTAATTGTTAGCCATATCATTATTACTGGTGGAGGCTACGCAGCCAATAAGATAAAGAGCCCCAGATGGGCCTCTGGCATTAAATTATGAGGAAATCCATTTAAAGGCTCTTCTCGCTATAAGGCAGAGTTGCCTGATTGACATTTAGACAGTAATCAATAGCCTTGGGCCACTTTCTTCTGTGAGCACCAAGGTCTCCCAAGGCCTGGTTCTCAAAGACAAAGTTCTTCCAAAGGGACAGCTGATTCCCAGTGCCTTCCCCCTTATGCAGGGATTGCTGTTTCTCTTGACAATATCTCTCCCGACCCCTTGCCTGAATTAATGCTGTAAAACAGCATGGATTGTGGATTGATGGGTTTCCGCTTACTCCTTTTTCTGAGTATTTGTTATGTTTAGCTCTTTCTTCCATCAATTTTCTCAGCAGCAGCAACAGTACAGCATTTCGTATCCCTAAAATAAAAAAAAAAGTAGTTGGGGGGGCATGGAAATAATAATACACTAGACATCCACTGTATGCCGTTAGTTGTGGAAAATGTTCAGAAGGGCTGCTCACTTGAAAGGCAGTTGGCCCCTTTGGAAATAGACTTTTTACACCTGACCCTTTCAAGGCTACAATACTATGCACACTTACTTCAGAGTAAGTTCCATGGATCTCCGTGGGGCCTGCTTCTGAGTAGTTGTGTATCTGATTGGGCTGCATCCTACTACACCCTACTGAGAGTAGTCGGATTGAAATCAAGGAGCTTATGTTAGTT